TGCTGCTGCAGCACAACTTCCGCCTCCACTGGCTCACTCTCGACACGGACATCCACAGGGACGAGCCCTAGGCCTGCAGCAGCAGCTGCTGCTGCTGCAGCAGCTGCTGCTGCTGCTGCTGCTGCGGAGGGCCGGCTGCAGCACGGGCTGCAGCAGCAGCAGCAGCAGCAGCTACGCCAGCAGCTGCAGCAGCAGCAGCAGCGAAGCCCCTCTCCGCGCACAGAGCGCTGCTCTCCTCCCTAGAGCCACGCCGGCAGCAGCAGCAGCAACAGCAGCAACAGCAACTGCAGCAGCAGCAGCAGCAGCAGCAGCAGCAGCAGCAGCAGCAGCTACTGATGTTGCTGCCTTTCTTGCTTCAGGAATGCGGCCCTCCGTTGTGCAGGCGCTTTGCCGCCCTGCGGGGGTCTGCCCATAAGCAGCGTGCTGCTGCTGCTGCTGCTGCTGCTGCTGCTGCCGTTCCTGCTGCTGCTGCTGCTGCTGCTGGTGGGGCGGCTTCTGCGGGCAGAGCTGCTGCTGCTGCTGCTGCCAGGCAGCCCGCACCGCCGCGTGCTGCAGCTGCTGCGCAGCACAACATTTGGCGACGCCCAGCAGCAGCAGCAGCAACAGCAGCAAAGCAGCAGCAGCTGCAGCAGCAGCCACTCGGGCAAGATAGTGCGAGGCAGCAAGTCTTGCATGAGCAGCTTCTGCTGCAGCTGGATGCACTGCTGCTAGCGGCGAAGCAGCAGCAGCAGCAGCAGCAGCAGCAGCAGCAGCAGATGGCACCAGATGTTCTGTCTGTGAGCCAAACTGGTTTGCTGCTGAAGGCCATCTTGTCGCTGCCGCTTCTTGCTGCTGCTGCTTCCTTCAGGGAGCTGCTGCTGCTGCAGCACCCGCTGCTGCAGCTGGCTGTGCGTTCAGTGTCTGCGAATTGCGACTCGCTGCGTGCTGCAGCAGCAAAGGATGCTCTGCTGCTGCTGCTCGTGCTGCCGCCCAAGCAGCAGCAGCAGCAGCAGCAGCAGCAGCAGCAGCAGCAGCCGAGGGTGCGTCAGCAGCGGCTGCTGATTGCGCGTCTGGTGCGGCGGCTGCTGCTGGTGGGGGTTGAGCTGCAGGAGCAGCAGCAGCAGCAGCTGCTGCTGCTGCCGTTTTTGCTGCTGGCAAAGGACCCTTACTTTGCGCAGCAGGAAGGCTTGTGGCAGCAGCTGCTGCAGCAGCAGGTGGCAGCAGCTGCAAACGGCCCCTTGCTGCTGCAGCCGCAGCAGCAGCAAGAAGCAGCAGTGACGTGGGCCCTGCAGTGCCTCGCCACTGCAGCACGGACTGCCGCCAAGGCCAGCAGCAGCAGCAGCAGCAGCAGCAGCAGCAGCAGCAGCAGCAGCAGCAGCAGCGGGAGAGACAGCTCGTTTGTGTACGAGCTGGTGTGTCGCCACCTGGGAAGCGAGTGGCTGCTGACAGCAAGTGCTGCTGCTGCTGCTGCTGCGCTGCTGCAGCTCTGCCGCTTGGGGGCCCTCGATGGGGCCCTTTTTGCTGCTGCTGCTGAGGGGCTGCTGGCGAATGCGCAGCTGCAGCGGGAGGAGCTGCTGCTGCAGCTGCTGCAGCTGATGGCTGTCTGCAAGACTTATTTCGACACCCGCGTCAATCCTGCTGCTGCTGCTGCTGCTGCTGCTGCTGCTGCGGCAGCAGAAGACGCTGCTGCTGCTCCAGGAGGCAGCAGCAGCAGCAGCAGCAGCAGCAGCAGCAGCAGCAAACAGCCGGCGCTGCTGCCCTCCGCAGGCTTGCTGCTGCAGCACCCGCTGTACACAGAGCGCAGCCGTTTGCTGCTGCGGCTGCTGCGGCTGCGGGTGTCTCTGCGTGCAGCAACAGCAGCAGCAGCAGCAGCAGTTGCTGAGGGCTTTGCACTGACTCATCTGCTGCCAGCTTCTGCTTCCTACAAAAAAGTGCTGCTGCGCCGCTGCTGCAGCGGGCTGCTGCAGGAGCTGCAGCAGCCGCAGCAGTTTGCTGCTGCGCTGCTGCTGCTGAGCCGCCTGGGGATGGGCCACGGCTCTGCTGCTCGCTTTGCTGCTGCTGCTGCTGCTGCGCGCTTTTTGCCCGCACTGCAGCCGCAGCAGTTTGCTGCGCTGCTGCTGCAGCTCCCCTTCGCAAACACTCTTGCTGCTACTGTTGCTGCCCACAAGGCGGCCAAGTCTGCTGCTGCTGCTGCTGCTGCGCGCCTAGCGTTTGCGGTGCTGCAGCAGCAGCTGAGGCAGCTGCAGCAGCAGCAGCAGCAGCAGACGCTGCTGCTGCCAGTGCTGCCAACCGAATCCACAGACACCTCGCTTCCGGTCGCAACAGCAGCAGCAACACCAGCAGCAACACCAGCAGCAGCAGCAGCAGCAGCAGCAGCAGCAGAAGGCGAGGAAGCACTTGCTGCTGCTGATGTCTTGGTGTCTTTGCTGCACAAGATGCGCCTTGCGGGTTTTTGCCGGTTTGCCCCAGAAGCTGTTGCTGCTTGCTGCGCTGCAGCGGTTGCTGCTGCACCTCCAGCAGC